TCGAACAAACCACATTTGACAGCTAAAATACGATCATCCGGCACAAAGCTGACAGTTATGATATTTTATCACTGATTCCAGCTTATCTCTTAAAGTCTAACTCTCCCAGGCGGATTAGATATATTGCTTGCCAGCTATCAAGCTAGTACGCAGTACTAGACCAATAGAGGAGACGTCTTCTCATTTCTAACTTTTTCTGCATGCCAACTACGCGATAAGTTGTGCTCACACCGATATGTGTTGTCCTGTGCTGGCCAGTGCTGCGTTATAATTATATAGTGAGATGAATATCAGCGTTCACTGTCAGTGTTTTTTCATTGAGATACTTCTTTTCTGCGATTACTTAACGTTTGAAATTTCGTTAAAACTGCATAGCTAGTATAATTTATACAGAATGCTTCTGTATTTAAGTTGATTTAAACATTTAACTAGGTCGATATCCAATTTAATAGTAATCCTGACGGAATTGTGACGAAATTCACGCTCCGATTGCGTCAAAGCGTTATGTTTAATGCGTTCTTATTGTTAATAATACTCATAATCATATAACTAGTTGTCAACAGTTTGTAATTTAACTTCAGGAGTCCCCAGCTCAGTATTTTAATAGTGTTTGCTTTCAGAAAATGACACCTCCTGTCGATTTTGAGAAGATATTGATTGGGGTGAGCTGTTTGTTCTTCATCTTGGTGTTTGCTGCGATTCTTTTCTGTATGACAGACTTCAAACTCTGCTTCCAGCAGAACAACGCTCAGAAGATATTCCACGACTCAGTGCTGGAAAATGTTGCTGCCGTTCAGAGAGACCGCGAAAATTCAGCATTGGAGAAAAATGGAGGACTCTCTGTGGGCAGTAAAAGAAATTCAGAGACTAGTATGGGCCTTAAGAAAAATAAAACTCATCCAGCCAGTGATGGAATTTCAGACGACACTATAACGCTAGATTATGATGAGACTATAAGAAGCAGTAAACCTAAAACTAATGGCAAAGTTATGTCAGACGCCAGTCTTATAGTGATAATTGATCAAGACAAGATAGAGATTAGCAATGAACTTATTGTATCGGGATTGCCGGAGGGCAAGAGGAAAACTTGCAAGATTCAGAAACACAAATCATCGGACGAAATCAATCCTATGCCGGTTTAGTTACCATTTCATATTAATAGTTACAGTGTAGACTGTAGATAGCATTTTAGGTAGGTAGTTGTTATATCGTTTACAATTTAGATATATTATAATTTCACGGACAGTATTGTACTAGGAATAATTAGTATGTTGTAGTTTATCATGTTACAATTTACACAGTCGAGAAAGTTTATGTAATTGTATGTTGGCTTTGCAGCCTTGAGAACCTTTATGATTTTATTATTATGAGCATTTTCTGCTGGGATCAGGATAAATTCCATTTTAAATAGTTCAGTTTTTAAGCAATTATTGATTAAACGATGTATTATTAAAGCAAAGTGTCTCATTTGTCACGTATATCTGAAGTCAGATCCATTATTATGCGAACACTGGTGGTCGTCCTGGTAAGATTTTCGTAACTCAATTTAATTCCTGTATTCCTATTAATACTGTTTTTCTATCCATGGATTTACTTGGATAACTAAATTGTAGATGCATTATCGGACCCACAATCGGGAATGTTTGAGTGAAGCCCTGACTTGCTCAATTAAAGGATCTCGTGTATTGGTGAGATGAAAATAACTAAGCAAGAAACCTGTCTTCCTATAGCCTAACTGTTTAAATATGTTTGAGCTGCCGGATGTTAACAAGTAGCAGAGTGAATCGTAGATTTCAAATCTTCGACTCGACCAGTCGACCTAATATTTAAAACTCACGTTGCGCGCGCGGCGCGGCGAGTTAGGAGTCATTTTGCGCAGATTGATCAAAGTTTAATTCTTGTGCGTCCTCCATCAATATTGAAAATTTCCGTCGTCTGTCCCATGACTCAGCACTGGCTCGAGGGAACTCTTACACCCGTGATCAGTGATCATACTACCTATCTGGCCCCTTAGCCCATAGAATATAACGAGGCATCGAATGTTCAACGAAAACAGATCATTTCAACATACTGCAATTTCTTCGACATTATACTCATATATTCATAAGATGAATGTTTATATTACACATCAACCAACGACTCGTGAGTCGACATCAAAAGCAGGGCTAAGTAAATATTATAAATTAATGGGGGGGGTGTCATGTCCGTCTATGTCCGCCTATGTCCTGTCCTTTTTGGATTCTATGAGACAACGGACGTGTTTTTTGGGACACGGACGGACACAGACGGACATTGGCGGACTCGGACGGACATTGGCGGACTCGGACGGACATTTGCGGACCCGGACGGACATTGGCGGACTCGGACGGACATTGGTGGATATTAGCTCAGGAGGAGGAGGACTCAGGAGGAGGACTGAGGAGGACTGAGAAGGAGGAGGACTGAAGAGTACTGAAGAGTACTGAGGAGGATGGCTGAGGAGGATGGCTGAGGAGGATGACTGAGGAGGATGACTGAGAGGGAGGAGGAGGATCAGGAAGACCCAGGAGGAGGAGGAGGAGGAGGACCCAGAAGGAGGACCTCGGAGGAGGAGGAGGAGAACTGAGGAGGCAGGATGACTCAGGAGGAGGAGGACTCAGGAGGATGACTGAGGAGGACTGAGGAGGATGGCTGAGGAGGATGGCTGAGGAGGATGACTGAGAGGGAGGAGGAGGAGGAAGAGGAGGAAGAGGACTGAGGAGGAGGAGAAGGACTGAGGAGGAGAAGGAGGACCCAGGAGGAGGGGGACCCAGGAGGAGGAGGACCCAGGAGGAGGGGGACCCAGGAGGAGGAGGACCCAGGAGGAGGACCCAGGAAAAGGCCAAAGGAGGAGGAGGAGGACTGGGGAGGAGGAGGACTGTTGAGGACTGATAAGGAAAACTGAGGACGAGGAGGAGGAGTAGGAGGAGGACTAAGGAGGGGAGGAGGAAGAGGACTGGGGAGGATCAGGAAGACCCAGGAGGAGGACCCAGAAGGAGGAGGACCCAGGAGGACCCAGGAGGAGGAGGAGGACTGAGGAGGACTGCGGAGGAGGACTGACGATGACTGAGAAGGAGGAGGACTGAGGAGTACTGAGGAGGATGGCTGAGGAGGATGACTGAGTCACTGAGAAGGAGGAGGAGGACTCAGGAGGAGGACTCAGGAGGAAGAGGAGGAGGAGGACTTAGGAGAAATGAGAAGGAGGACTCAGGAGAACTGAGGAGGAGGAGGAGGACTAAATAGGAGGAGGAGGAGAAGGAGGGGGACTGGGAGAGGACTGAGGAGGAGGAGGACTGATGAGAAGGATGAGGAGGAGGACTGAGGAGGAGGACTGAGGACCGAGGGGGAAGAGGAGGAGGATGAAGAGGAGGAGGAGGACTGAGGAGGAGGACTGAGGAGGACTGAGGAGGATGGCTGAGGAGGATGACTGAGAGGGAAGAGGAGGAGGAGGAGGAGGAGGACTGAGGAGGACTGCGGAGGAGGACTGACGATGACTGAGAAGGAGGAGGACTGAGGAGTACTGAGGAGGATGGCTGAGGAGGATGACTGAGAGGGAGGAGGAGGAGGACTCAGGAGGAGGACTCAGGAGGAAGAGGAGGAGGAGGACTTAGGAGAAATGAGAAGGAGGACTCAGGAGAACTGAGGAGGAGGAGGAGGAGGAGGACTAAATAGGGGGAGGAGAAGGAGGGGGACTGGGAGAGGACTGAGGAGGAGGAGGACTGATGAGACTCAGGAGGAGGAGGACTCAGGAGGACTGAGAAGGAGGACTGACGATGACTGAGAAGGAGGAGGACTGAGGAGTACTGAGGAAGATGGCTGAGGAGGATAGCTGAGGAGGATGGCTGAGGAGGATGACTAAGAGGGAGGAGGAGGAGGACTTAGGAGGAGGACTCAGGAGGAAGAGGAGGAGGAGGACTCAGGAGGAGGACTTAGGAGAAATGAGAAGGAGGACTGAGGAGAACTGAGGAGGAGGAGGAGGAGGAGGAGGACTGAATAGGAGGAGGAGAAGGAGGGGGACTGGGAGAGGACTGAGGAGGAGGAGGACTGATGAGAAGGATGCAGATGAGGAGGAGGACTGAGGAGGAGGACTGAGGACCGAGGAGGAAGAGGAGGAGGATGAAGAGGAAGAGGAGGACTGAGGAGGAGGACTGAGGAGGAGGACTGAGGAGGACTGAGGAGGATGGCTGAGGAAGATGACTGAGAGGGAAGAGGAAGAGGAGGACTGAGGAGGAGGAGGAGGAGGACTGAATAGGAGGAGGACTGAATAGGAGGAGGAGGAGGGGGACTGGGGGAGGACTGAGGAGGAGGATGGAGGACTGAGGATAAGGATGAGGAGGAGGACTGAGGAGGACTGAGGACTGAGGAGGAAGAGGAGGAGGATGAAGAAGTGGAGGAGGACCCAGGAGGAGGACTGAGGAGGAAGAGGAGGACTGGGTAGGAGGAGGACTGATGAGGAGGACTGAGGACGAGGAGGACGAGGAGGAGGAGTAGGAGGAGGACTGAGGAGGGGAGGAGGAAGAGGACTGAGGAAGATCAGGAAGACCCAGGAGGAGGAGGAAGAGTAGGAGGAGGAAGCATCTAAATGTTATTTCCATTTTTGTCCGTTTTTGTCCGCTCTATTTTTGTCCTTTTTGAAAATATAGGGTACCGAACGGACAAAAAACATGATCCCCCTATAACAGCAAAAATTGAACATTTTATTTAGCAATTTAGGTGTCCATTAATGTCCGCTAATGTCCGTCTATGTCCGCCTATGTCCGTCTATGTCCGCCTATGTCCGCCTATGTCCGCCTATGTCCGCCTATGTCCGCCTATGTCCTGTCCTTTTTGGATTCTATGAGACAAGCGGACATAGACGGACGTGACACCCCCCCCATTAATGATGTATTAATTTATACTCTTATATAATAGATTTAAGATAAAGTGCCCTCTTAAAGTTGATATGCCATTAAAATTGCATTTAAGAACGAAAGAGATAAAAATTAGATTTTGGTTTTAAAAGATAATATAACTGGGTCTCAAGTAAGAATTAAATATAAATTCTAAAATTATCAAAAGACATAAGGTAAAACCTCAATAGTAGATAGAAGCACTGTGAACCAAGTTCAGCTAAACATGCCCATCTCACAAATTCCAACTTAAATCTACAACTTTTTACATGCCCGTACTATATCTATTATACAAGTTATCATCGTGAAATGAGTATTTTTTGAAACTCGCATAATCTGAAACCAAACAATATATTTCTGAACCAATCCCATATCATAAATCTGAGCAAACACTTATCACCCACATGTGTGCTTATCGGTAGAATACGATAAGGTATCGTGGTCGAAACTTGAAAACTGAATTGACTTTAAATCTCCATGATTCATCCAGTTCATATCAGGCTTGTTTCATGTGGGTTCTAACGACAACTCATCATAACAGCTGATGTAAAGTTTACAGAAGTGATCGGGTCAGACATTCAACCAAACTTTCGACCAATTGTTTTCTTCCGATGAGTACACATCCGGATCAATCCCCTTTAAATACAACCCCTCAAATTTCTGATCGCCTGACTTTGACAGAGTCTAGTATTTTACTTGGAATGTCAACAATGCACACTCCCACACTACTTCGTCTCATACTCATACTGGCGACTGATATCCACTGTCCCGCTACGAGGTCGTATCTGAAACAAGCTTTTGTGAGTTTCAAGATATTCAAAAAATAAGGCCATTATCATAATATGTTTTATCATAATATGATACCTATGATCATATATTATGGTCATTCGCAGTTATGGTCATTTGCAGTTATCTGAATCCGTGCCGACAATTATTTCAATTTCTACACAGCATAATACTTCGGACAATTTGGTACTTTTTCATTATTCTCAGACTCATCTAACGATTCTCAGGAAATGTGAGATTTTAAAATATAAAAAATCAAAGAACAAAGTGCCGGTGGCAAAGAAAAGTGGCGGTGGAAAAACATACTTTTCGCTGAATCGTATTTCTAAGTAAACTCTAATATAAACCTCCCAGAAAGCTATCCATATTTCCCACATAAATTGCTCTATATTAGAAAAGCCCTTCACCACACGATGAAACAACTGTCTCGAGTATATCCATTACATCACCCTCAGCTTCTAACGTTCCATGCTACCATGCTTACTAAGTTTCAAGCAATAAATCTCTGTCAGCCGTCCCTAATTTCTAAATTAATAATCTTTAGGAGAGCCTGTTTTTACTTGATTCATTATTTCCAAGTGCAACATGAGCGCAGTATCAATATGACACTGGGGCAGAACTTCTTGCACCTTATTACTTCACTTAGGGTATGAATTGAAGCTGTGATTTGTCAGTGCTATTTAATGTGGCCTCTAATTTCCAGAATCTCTGACGCAAGTCCCCTTGATAATTTAGTCTTCCAACAGATCTGACGTAAGCATCACATGCATGATTTCATAGACGCCCTATTAGAGAACATAATGAAACCAAAAATAAAACTAAAAGTGCAAACATCTGTGAATTGAGAAAATAAAGGAAAAAAACTAACTTTTCGACTGTATTGAGAGAGCTGCATCCGTCGTTCCCGCCCACAGCGTAGAGCGCGCCGTCCACCACAGCAATATCAACTGCACTGCGAGACGTGTGCATTGGCTCCAACCACCTCCACTTTCCTTCTCGAGTATCGTATCTGAAAAAAGGAGGAGTAAAAAAATCCACCTTAAATAAATGAATAATGAGGGTTACACCTGATACATTTCATATTATAAATAAGTGATAACAAACTAAGCAATCAAAACATCATGTTTTAAACAAACCTCTCCACAGAACTGAGACTAGTACAGCCATCATTACCTCCCACCACATACACACATGAGTCGAGTGCTATAACACCGGCACCTGAGCGCTGGGAGTGCATCTGATTCACTGTATACCTGAGATATATACAGTCGTTAGTTTTTAGAATATACAGTCGTAAGCTTTAAGAATATATCTAATGAGCTGTAAATTATTTAACTGTGAAGCAAGATTACATCCCAGCTGCGCTGCAGTGTCAGGGGTTTAAGGGTCCCTGGGTTGGAGCCAGATAGATAGATGCCTATAGAGTTAGAATAATTTCGGAAATCCTTACCATTTTTCCCTGTCTGGATGGAACATTTCCACAGTACTAAGATGAGAAGTTCCGTCAAAGCCGCCCACTGCGTAGATCTGCTTATCAGAGGTGACTGCGCGTACGTAGCGCCGCTTTGTTGTCATTACTGGTGCCGCCATCCACACCTGACAGAACTTAGGTTCAGTTTGGTTTTCAGTGTAACTCAGCGAATAAATTATATATCCTGAACCGTTATCTGTTTATATGTCCATATTTTTAATGTGAGATAATAAATAAATACCAAATAATGGATATGTAATTTATCATATCATATTCTGGATGTGACTAATTTAATTCCACTCTTGCTAAAGTTGAGCACCTTTTGGAAAACCGTCCAACGGCAATATTAGATGATTATGGCGATGCCCACCATTCGATCTCAAACTTTTCAAAAGTATTCTAACTTTATTTTCAACAATTTGTCGAACATTCAGAGTTCTCCTCTCTTGTAGTTAAAACACTAATCAGAGAGGAGTAAACTACAACAATTCATTAGCATGATCTATATATTCTCCCTGGAACAATCTTATATATATAGTAACTCAATGAGGTTGTCTCATTAGCCAAGGGGGAAGGATGAGAGGGTAAACTAGAGACTCAAGAGAGGACAAAGGATGTAGCTTACACATTATGGCGGCCTCTATTACCTCTCGTATGCAGATAGCAGGCACCGGCGATGGTGATCTATTGTTAGTTTGTTAAATTATAATGATCCATGTTCCCGCACAAACTCGGGGTATGGATAGAGCTCCTCTTTTTCACGTACGAGTTACACTAACAATAACACGTTCTAGCACACACACCATTACACGGACATGCTAGCTACCATATCAATATCCACTACCCTCTCTACTTCTAGATATAATTATAATAACTCACATACAGACTCTATGCTATTAGTGCTGCTACAGTCAGACTATGAGACTGTAGCACTGTGCTATTATTACTGCTAAAGTCAGTTGTAGCACTGTGCTATTATTGCTGCTAAAGTCAGTTGTAGCACTGTGCTATTATTGCTGCTAAAGTCAGTTGTAGCACTGTGCTATTATTGCTGCTAAAGTCAGTTGTAGCACTGTGCTATTATTGCTGCTAAAGTCAGTTGTAGCACTGTGCTATTATTGCTGCTAAAGTCAGTTGTAGCACTGTGCTATTATTGCTGCTAAAGTCAGTTGTAGCACTGTGTTATTATTGCTGCTAAAGTCAGTTGTAGCACTGTGCTATTATTGCTGCTAAAGTCAGTTGTAGCACTGTGCTATTATTGCTGCTAAAGTCAGTTGTAGCACTGTGCTATTATTGCTGCTAAAGTCAGTTGTAGCACTGTGTTATTATTGCTGCTAAAGTCAGTTGTAGCACTGTGCTATTATTGCTGCTAAAGTCAGTTGTAGCACTGTGCTATTATTGCTGCTAAAGTCAGTTGTAGCACTGTGCTATTATTGCTGCTAAAGTCAGTTGTAGCACTGTGCTATTATTGCTGCTAAAGTCAGTTGTAGCACTGTGCTATTATTGCTGCTAAAGTCAGTTGTAGCACTGTGCTATTATTGCTGCTAAAGTCAGTTGTAGCACTGTGCTATTATTGCTGCTAAAGTCAGTTGTAGCACTGTGCTATTATTGCTGCTAAAGTCAGTTGTAGCACTGTGCTATTACACAGACTGTTTGCGCTCCAGTGTGTAACTCACTTCTGCTGCAGCTCTAATGTTATACACTGGACACACTGAGACGCAAAGTCCAATGAGTTTTAAAATAATATCTAGCTTGTATTGTACTGGTAACATAAAATTATCAGTATCAGCCGCAAGCCAGCAGCTGCATGCTCTCTGAAACCAGCGGTGCGGCTAATGGAGATACACATAATCTATTATTGGGGCTCTAGAAGTATTGGCTTATTGAACCGCTAAAATCAGGGTCTGGACTCACTAGACATAATCACTCGCAAGAGACTTGATACGAGGAGGTTGGGGCCTAATCCTCCGTTAGAGGATGCTGATGCTAACAGAATATTTTCACAAAACACGCGAGCACACGTGATAATGGATATCATGTTGAGTGTTGACGCTGCTGCTGGGATGATATCTTGATCTGCGCTGGTAGTTATAGTCGAGTAACCATCGTATCTCATTACACTTCATGATGAGTTCACACAGGGACATTACCACTGTGATTACAGTTCACTACATTACACTACTTAAATCATACGGGTAATAAGATCAACATGGCCCCAGGACCAGGGAGGGAGAGTACATGGTCAGATGCGCTCACTGGTTTACAAGCGGCTGGTTTGTGCGTCATTGGTGGTGCAGTGGTGCAATCATTGTTGATTGTACAAATGCAGGTCTCTTTGGATAGCATTAAATTTCATTCTGTTTAAGAGGGCAATAATCGAGTTGTGTTCAAAATTGCCTCGAGATTAGGGAATTACAAATGAAATAATACATAGTGATAAATATCGATACTGATAAGACGGAATTGAAGACCATCATATCACCAACTTGTAAGCTGATAGGATAATTTCTGTGCCCACTGAAAAGCTGCACAGATGAGCGGGTGAATTTGAATTATGAGCTACCTTAATACCGTGTGGTTTAAACAGTGCAGTGAAAACAAGTTATGTTTAACAGTACACGTGCTGTAAAAGGCAATAAGGTGAATTGAGTAGTGTAATAACAAGATAATATTAACAGTTTATGTTTAAAGAACAGGGCTGTTATAGGATTATGTGGCAATGTCAATATAAAGAGAAGAAACTTCTAATAAACCTACCTAATGCTAATATACAGACTGGCTAAAGAATGTAAAATGAAGCGACAAATAGCAAAAAATGTAGCAAAAAGGAACCCACCTCCATATAAGGATCGTATCTCTCCATGTAGTCCAGACAAGTGTATCCATCATATCCTCCCAAAGCGTACATTATACCATCCAGCTCTGTTATCCCTACACAACTCCTCCTGATTGTCATGGAGGGGGCTGCTGTCCACTCGTTCACCTGAAATGGAACCGTCGTCAGTAAAATACAAACACACAGTTTTTATTGTTGATGTGAACACATTGCGTTCACATTTAAGAAAACGGTCAACCAAACTTCTTAAATTTCATTTTATATGGGGTATTTTTCCAACAGTGTCCATTTTATGTGCCCAGTCCCTTCCATTCTATCAATTCTGAAACTAATCTAATCTTATGGTGCTTATGTATGTAACTTCTTTTAGTCCTCTTGTTCTGATCCGTAACTTAAATCTGCTTTTGTGTTTTTTGTTGCTGTGTACGTGTTTTTATGCATGTATTTATTTTCTCAAGCTCGTTTCTTCGCATGTTTTATCGAGACAAGCATGACAAGTGGCAGCTCAGTTCCTATTTTGAAACAGTAGTAAAAAAACAGCTAGTTCACATCTTTGGCACGCCGACTATCAATTATGTATCATCACGTTTTTCAGATCTGATCATGCAGATTGATCGATAAAATATAGTTTTGTCCAATTACTTTTAAAACTTTTCGATCGATACACATGTTAAGTTTTGAAGAGCTCAAACAATATGTCAGGATGCAACTGCCATGTATTTATTCGCTTTCAACTAACGTACAAATACATGCATAATTTTAAGGAAGCTTCTAGAATGATTGTTGGTCACTTCACTGAAAGACTTTGATCTTACACTTTACTATTAGATAAACATTATTAAGTTCCAGATAATAATGATGAATGAGAACAACAAGCATTATATGTAATGAAGGTCGTGTAGAGATATTTATATTAATTACAGCGTTGGCACACGCTGCGTTCTAAATATTATATGGGTAAGATTTTAGGACAATTTCAACAAATCATTCGTGATATTGTGATTCTTTGTAAGATTTACGAGTAAAATGACTTGTTTTATTGTGTTTTAGAAAAAAATAGGAAGGATAAGATCCTGATTCTGGCAGGTCTGCAAAATTCTATTTCCTTGTAATTCTTGCAAATTCTATTTCCTTGTACCACTCATTCTTCTTTAACGTTAATCGAATCTGGTGATGACTCTAATAGAATTAGGAATATGTACATGACCCATCAGGATAAGAGTTTTTCAGAATTGGTTGTAAAGAGACTAACGAGCTTGAACATGAAATCTTGTTATTTGATCAATAATCAGTTTAGAAAGGAAATCTAGACGATCTGAAAGCACATACAAAAGCTGAATTTGATTCATTCATCACTTAGTCTTATCCTGTAAAGTGTAATTTTATTTCGTGAAAGTTTTCGGTCATCGACCTAAAACTTCCTACACAAACAATGAACATCACCTTATTATAGTTTGGAAACTTCCTGAATCTATAAATACGCTCAAGTTGATTAAAGAAGCCATGACCCAAGAGTCCAGACCACCTTTGACGTGATAGCCATTACCAACCAGGCCGAACTGATTACAGATCCATTATTTGATGGGATAAATCAATTTAATTGTAATTAGAAGCTGTGCCATATGATCTGTACCACGGACCTGGTGTTTACCACCGGCCCATAATCTAATCAACTAATCGTAATCCTCGACAAAACAGACACCTTCACAACAATGTATCCGACTAAAGATGTTATATAGCAGAGTCTTGTGACTCATACTCACGGAAGGGTTGTATTTTTCCATGGAGAGAAGGTGGATAGCTCCGTCGTAGCCTCCAGTTGAGTACACAAATCCGTCAAGTTCCAGGACACCCGCACGTGCGCGCGGCGTGGACATCTGCGAAACACGATACCACGTGTCGTCAGTTATAGAGTAACACTCACACTCACAGTGTGTTGTGAATTGGGATCCTCCACCAATAGCCATCATTGTGGGTATGTGATCTGGTTTCTTTCTTGCTATCGTTCCTGGGAGAGTATAATATTAATGTGAACTGTTTGTTTTTCTAAACTTTTAATTGAATGAGCTAACAAAATAAGTTCTCACAAAGACTTTTTAAAAGGACACCCAGATAAATCACTCTAAACGCCCCTCATCTTATTACAGCGTTACTAAATCAGTTGGCAAATGCATTCAGACTCTCAGCACATTAAATCACACTCTAAATTTAAAACCAAAATCGAATTTTCCTTATTTCACCCCCGGTGAGTAAAGCATATTCATGATTAAAAACAACAAACCTAATCGACTACTTACAGTCCACCGGAGTAAAAACAAACTGGAAAATCACAAACTTTTAAAGACCTTAAACAAAGTTAAAAGCTCACCAAAATGTTGCATGGAGCTCCGATGTCTAGGTTGCATCTGATACCTCATAGCCTGCATCAGCAAGTCTTTAATCTTTACGTCCACGATATCTCCGATAGCTTCCAGCACTTCTCCCAGGAGGACTGAGGAGGGAAGGAGGGAGAGCTTAACGTAACTCAAAACATCTGCTAGGTTACTAACTCTTTTTATAGGGTCCTTGTTGTACCACTTCATAGCTGCTTCAAACAAAACTCGTTCACTTGCCACGTTCAGTTTATCCATTGACAGGAACTGGAAAAGGAAATGATGGTTAAAAATACTCGATGATTTAGCTAAATATTAGTAAAACAAGTCTAAGAATTTGTCTCACCATCATTGTCTGTAATGTGGCCTGCCTGGATAAAAATATTTTCATAAAACATACTCATTACCCCACATTGGTTACAATATTTTTGTTATTTTAACTTTAATACCTCTATAATACTGCCAGCAGGAAGTTGTACGAACTCATCTCCCTTCATACACACTTCATAGAAGTTCCTCTGAATGAACCGCCTCGCTGTGGCTAGTAACGATTCACAGTGGTGTTTGTCTGAAAAATAATATAGAATTATTATTAACTACATGAAAAGCAACCTGAGAAATTTTTGAAAATGACGATAATGATATGCATGGATAGACCTTATATTGTTCTACGTCATAAAACTCATTAATTTACAATAACTCTGGCGTCGTTATTGACCAACAACGTGTTTAAAAAAACGCAAAAGAAATAAGATGAAATAATGTCCTTCGTACCAGCAAAGAGGTAAAATCCGAGACAGTTTGATATAGAGAGATGTTGTTCGAGGAACACGCCACACTGGTCCACTACATAGTCTAATTGTAACATCCTGGCTGCTGGTAACAACTCCTGTACGTTCTCCTCACAGATCGTCACCTGAGCAGATACAAGGGTTACTTGGGAGTACAGTAGGGTTTGTGGTTATTCAGGATAAACTTTTGAAAAGGAGTTGACTAACACAGAGTTAATATAAGTATAATCATACGCAGTTTTGGATCAGTAAGCGAATTCTGGTTCAATTTTTTTGAGGAATCAAGTAATAACCTCATCCAATGCCAAATCCATGGCCAAATCCATAGTCGTGCACCTCCAGAAATATATGAGTTTAAATTATAAGTAGGATTCGCAGAAAATAGAGCAATCATGTGCTAGAACGATACTCAAAAACTCGAAGAATGCAGATTGCAACAGGTAACGTCGTTAAGTACAAATGACCGCTACCCAAGCTTGGTATGTGCCTTGGATCGTCCAGTGGGGACATGATTTGCATAATGTAATCACCAACTATTTACCATAATTTCTACTTGCTGTTGTAGTGAGTTACACCTTCAAGTACAGAACATTATATCATTAGCCAGGCCCGCTATGTCTCTATAATAGGACAGTGAGAGTGAACAGTGAACAACACCACAATAAGATAACAACAAAACAATACCTTGTTTGAGTAAGCGTAGTCTATAAGAGCCTCCACGGCACCAGCATCAACATCGTACAAAGAGACCTTGTCCTGCTTACTCTCTGCTAAGTTACTGGTGAACATGGCCCGGAAGTAGGGGGAACATGAGGATAGCACTATTCTGTGCGCCTGAAATGATATCGTCAGATCTTGATAATTAACGAATAATGTTATAAATGTTCATAGTCAATCACATAGTCTTGCTATTGCTTTAAGGTTTGTTAAAAAAAGTCAACTAGTTCATAAACGGTCCTAAGTTTGCTAAAGTATGCTGAACAGTAATAAGTAACTCACCTCAATCTCTTTATCTCCAACTACAATGGTAATGTCACAGAAGAACTTCTTTTCACGGAAGTATTGCATTTCGTCCAACATCTTGCTAGCTTCACTGTCGCTGTGATAGTCTATACTACTGGAGTTGTGACGAGGTGAAGTTGATCCAAATGAAGCACTTCTCTTTCTACGGGTCCGCTTGCCACTGCAGACTGAACGGACCGGACTGGTGTCTGATCTTTCTGATTCAAAGTCGGATCTGAAGAATTCTTCTGAAATTAGAGACTTGTTACCTCTTTCAGAATCCAACGACTTACTCAACCAACTATTCAACTACTACGTACCTGTAGGCAGCTACATAATATGACTTTAAGTGCAGCTGAAACGTAATTTTTGATCCATTGTTTTCGTTTTGGAGTTAGCTCGTTATAAAATTTGAGGTTATTTTATTTTAAATACACGTTATGCTTATCGTTTTATTATATACTAGTGTAACCCGGCCTTCGGCCGGGATTTCACTGCCGCAGTTAAAAAGGGTAGGAGCATTTACCCGTTGAGTCAGAACCCGCATTAGGTGAGCAATTCTATTCGGAGTGCCCTCACGTATCCAATGGTATCTTAAACAATAGTAATAGTATCTTAAACAATAATCAATAGAAATTAACCCTTAACACCACACCCGCCTATCATATTTGTGAACACGCATAACATTGTCGTATGAAAGTATGAACTCTCTCTCTCTGCAGTCCAAACAGTTCCCCCTCCCCTAATAAGATTATAGTATAGACAGCGAATCTTACCCGGGTAACTCAATTACACTAATTATGCAGCTACATATATATATATGCGAGCCCCGTAACTCTTACCGTTCTGCTCAAGCCATTTTATGTAACATTTGTGGTACAAAACCATCAATTAAACCACCTACCAACGACCGATTTAAAAAACCTTTATCATTTAACTTCGTCAGAGTTTTGTCGGCACTTTACCGAAAAAATCAGTCCCGCAACTCTTACCGTTTTCTTGATTAAGCCGCTCGGAAATTACAAACAGACAGACAGACACACATTCTGGGATTATTAGTTAGATTATAATCTCATGATCATGCAGACTATTAATGTAATAGTGCCAGTCGGATAAACTTGCTCAACGTATTTGGTTTTCAATAACTGCAGAGTACAGACCAATAAATAATCTTAATTTGTTTACTGCAACTGGATCGTACGGGATGCATTAATAACATGAAATTAAGCTGAGGTATAAAATCCCACACGAACCCCTCAGTCCACACAAACTAAAATGAGAAGTATTTATTATGTATGTTAGTATGTACATACCAAATATAAACAGACCAAGCACGAATAATTTTGTTGAGATATTTGAAACAAGTAAAGAAGGAAGACTAATTACTTGACTATCAGAAAGGCTGAATGTTAAATGCACATGACGGTATAGGGGTCAGAAGCTTCAACGATAATCTTCCTACAATAATACAGGGCACTTAGTACATGATACATGTCAACCTTTGTATTGGAATTTAACTGATTATTGAAAGATTTGGCGAAATAATTTAGATAATAAGCTCTCCACAAATTTAATTTTAAACAGTTGTAACTTGTATTTACCAGGAGGGTCAGGTGATAGATTAGATAAGGTGAGGGTTTCTGATAAGTTGTCAAGAGTTTCCTCGAGCTCGTCCAAACCAGAGTCAATAGGCTCTATGTGATCAACCAATTCAGGAGATGACCTCAGAGACGAAGGTCGATCATATGACCTGCCAAACATCCTCCTAGTACACCTGGGCAACTTGTTCAGTTATAATGGCAAATAATTATGCAAACATAATTTTTCTTCAAACATATATTAAAATCAGAACTCTGATTAGACTTACCACTGTTACTTCCTATAGCCGAGACATATTTATAAAGCAGCATTATAAATTATGAACTAAATATAAATTATACACTCAATTACACACTAAAACTATACACTTTCACTGCATGACGTTATTACAAGTTCAGTGTTTCACGAGTGATAACTGACCTGATGTCATTTTGCTAATAATTCTCTGGTCGTTTTCCAATCTATAGAGACTAAAAGTTTAACATTATATCAAAGATCAAAGCACATAATAGATCACATAAGTTTAAGTTGTACTTAACAATTACTGATAATAGCAGAGTGCTCATTAAGTGATATAGTGATAATGTGACAGACATAGAACAAGACATCCTGTCGCTAATTAGCATGCTGCACTTGTTACGAAATGTGTCCATGTGAGTTAAGGTTATAAGTATGTCAACACAAAACTGAAATATTTATGATCTTGCAAAGCCAAACGCACAATTTCCTAGTTATCTACAGGTTTAGCACTTTCTGCTACTAAATGCTAGCAAATTTAAAGCAATGGAGAAAAACGAAATCACACATACTTTGTATCGATGCTTGCAACATAGCTGCTTTCAATAAATATCGAGGAATCTAAAATGCTATGATTTTCACAGTGCAACAAACGGACAACACTTGGATAAATAATACAAAAGTAGTCAGATAACAATATTGAGTAAAAAAATATTAAGTAAAAACGTTGTTCTATAATGTATATTCCAGATTATCTCCATCACACTCACGGAAATTGATAATGATGTGGATACATAGAAATTACAAAAATAAAACTGATTCACAGCTGCATGACTGGTTAAAAAAGGGGGGGGGGGGACCCCCAACCCATGTAGCTGAGACACCTCACAGCTGCATGACTGTACCAAATCAGCAAAGCATCGAATTTACAGTAAGTAAACAATTTTTCCCTAAAAGAAACTTTGTAGTGAAGTTTTGATACAACAACAAATTGGAACCTCCATCATGGGCAGCACTGCAATAGCTGACCAATTTTTAAATGGTTGCAATGATTCAGGATAATCTTGGCTTTTCAGTAGCGCTCGATTTTGGTCGAGCTAAACGTACATGAATTATGTAGTACAGTCAACAGTGCGCGGCGTCAATGAGCCGACATCAGCTAGGCAGCATGAAGGATGATTATTAATCACTCTACACTCGACTTTCACGTGACTTTTTTTCTAGGTGGCCCTGAACGACCATTCGAACCCCCTAACCCTCTACTTTAACAGGTGTACTAGATTACAACTTTTTAGCTAAAACTTTTTAATTCCGTATTTTATTGTTATGAAGCTTAAGCTTAATTGGTATGATGGCTTTTGACCTCACAAAATTGTATAAGTACTTAAATAAAAAGTTAAATCTGCTACATTTTCAATTTTACAATTTGTTGTACAATTACTTTACCCGGCCCGCCATTTTATTTATTTATGATTTATATATTAATTTCCTCTGCATAAGCCCTCGTTTTTCTTCTTTTCACATACATCGGTGAGCGAAGCGAGCAATAAACTACCAAGCTAAGTGAGTAATTGCTCAGACTGTATGTGAGCAAAAATAATCATTCATGATTTATAAAACTTGTCTTGAGATTAATATTTAATAATTTTATCCCATCTTCATTCTTCACCCTATGCTAGGGATACAAGGATACAAGGATACAAGGATACAAAAGTGATAATTACTTTATTGAGTACACAATAGTTGTAATTCTGAAATAATTTAAGTTACACAATTCTAATTATTTACAAGTGTGTAGGGATAATTTAGAAATGTTATATAATGCTAGTTTTAGAAAAATAGATAAATCGAGTTTGTATGGTTCAATCTTATTTTAAGGTCCTATAGCATTATGCACTTGCCAGTATTTGAGTGGAAATCTGGGCTCTTATAATAGGCTGTATAATTTTCGTTCACAGAGAGAATTGAATGGATTGCTCTTGCTGTGGCAGTGAGTGTGGTAGGATCTAGAGTTTTGTTGGAGAGCAAACCGACTAGGTCAGTAATGTTTAGGGGATGGAAATTGAATTTTTCCCTAACTGAGGAGTAGAGCAAACAATCAATCAATACGTGACTTTCGTCCTCAATAGGCTTTAGCCCTTTGCTGAAAAAGCAGTAGGTGCACCAACGTTCTTCTCTTGGTACAAGGGGGGTTTCGTATCTGCCCCTTTCGATGTAGAGGTTGTGGCAGCTGATACGAAACCTTGTCAGACTTTTTCGAACATCCGGTATTTTGATAATTCGTAGGTGTGCCTCTGGTTCGAAATCATGTTTAATTAAGTTATAGAATTCTAGTTTTGGCGAGGAGGCCTTGGCAGCTTTCCAGGTATTCACGAATTCTTCCCTCATGTTATGACTGATTTGGGTGGAGAGCTTAGATTTTGAGGAAGATGAGGGGGTGAAGTTGTATTTGGTGAGAAGCTTTGAGATGTTGGTATACCAAGGAAGTCCCAACATGATTTGTTCGTGAAATGCAGCACAGAGTAGTTCGTTTTCAGTGTTTTCAAGGCGACTATAGTAATCTATTGCAAGTTTGCAGGCTTCAAAAAATAGAGGGTGGCGCCCGCTTTCGCCCCAGCAACCTATATTGATGCTTTTGAATGTACAGACAAAGACCACTTGATAAACTTTAGGTGGAATTTTTCATAGTGGTCTTGTGCAATGTACTTCAAGGTATGCTGGGGGTTGGCTTTGTCATCTATTTTTGAAAGGTATCTCATGGTTTTTGAGTGGGGGCATAAGACTTGACAGCCATAAAGCAGGATGGTTTTATAAGGAGTCAAATAGAATATTAAGGGCACGGTGTGAGAGGGCATCCTTAACTATTTTGCCTTTGAGGCCATAGAGAGCACGGAGAGCCTTGGCCCTCAGCTCAGTATTTGCTGCTGTAAACGATCCATTTCTGTGGAATATTATGCCAAGACTTTTGACAAAAGATTCAACATCGCTTCTGGCTGTATCATATTCCATATATTGTCCTAGATGCCACACTCCAGCTACTGGCTCATATATAATAGTTAGATTGTGGCAGTGGCGTAACGTTGCCTGTTAGCGCCCCCTGCCGAAAAGGCGCCCCCCTGTTGTTGACGGATGTTACTCGTCTAAATTTCTTCGAAGTAGCGCGCGCCGGGCCAGATCATTAACAATGGTCAACCCTGTTGGCGCCCCTTCCCCTTTTGGTGCCCCTCCCTAAAATTGAACAAATTAGGTGATTTTAGAGGATACGCCGGTAAAATCTCTAAAAAAGTGTGTATCTAGAGCAAAACGCGCAGTTTTGCTAGTACTTTAGTTAAGTTTTCGAAATTGTCCCACATTCAAACGACGATTTGGCGCCCCCCTAAGACGGCGCCCCCCTGCACAGCGGGGTCAGCAGGGCCCTTCGTTACGCCACTGGATTGTGGATGGTTAACTGCGGTCGGTCCGAGAAACCTATCTGATTGCAGCAAAGTGTGTTCGAGCGTGCATTCCCGAAACATACTCCGCAATGTGCTTTTCATTATGAGGGTGGTAAAAGTTGTTAGCATTCTGGGAAGACCTCGCTGCGCGCAGCACATAGATACGGCCAAGTTTGTATTTTCCAGTGTTTATCTTTGGAGGGCTGTGTCCATCCGTCCCTCTGGTCTGTTATTAGTGTACCTCATCAGAGTATAAAGGCAGCTAAGATCATCAATGAGCAATATCATTGGGAATTTGTAATGTAAACAAACGTACACGCTGCACAGAAGGCTTATTGATGATAATTGTGGTGAATTTCTAAATTGAGTTCGCAAAATATAAACATCAAGGACTCTGACAAACTACATCCTCAGTATCACTTTAAGGATCAAATTAGAAGTAAAACACAAAGCTACGGGAATTTTGTTTAAAAATCAGCATTTAAGTCAATCAACATACATCCCTAAAATTATAATGTACGGTCTTTTATTTTCCAAATGCTGAAACACGTGACATATCAAACCAAAATGATATATCAAATCAAAATTCGATATTTCAAATCATAAATCTGTATGGTCACAGTACAGTGTACACCAACCAAATAATTAAAGGCTTTGTACTGCCCTGTCAACCTCAATAAATTCCAAATCATCGCTAAATTACAAATCTATTAACGAAGAGTGTTGAGACTCGAAACCAAAATTTTTTCTACAAGTAATATATTATATAGTCTTTAAACTGATCTCTCTATTCTTGTCCGAAGCCCTCAGTTTCCTCGGTGGCGAATAAGAGTTTTTCCTTTAATTGTTCGTAGGACCTGTACGGGGGTAAGTCCAGTCTGTTGAAGCATGTGTGGGATCTTGGTAGCCAGTTCTCTTTTCCAACTCGTTCGATGCAGAACTTCTGAGCTCCATTGCTTCCCATCAACTCGCTGAAATAATTTGACAGGTTACAAAACAGACGTCGATAAATTTCAAATTCCAGGATTACTTGCATCGTAGACACGTGATTGCAATTACTATTAATAAGCAACGAATTTAAGTCGGCAAGTTTATTACGAGTTAATTAGCTACAAGACAATTCATGTGCGCTGCCTCAAAACACTGGTAGCTTGAGCAAGAACACACGTGCGTGCTTCATATGCATGCAATTGTACAGCAGTGCTTAGCATTTTAATTATTGTTGCAGTGAACGATGTGGCATAAATAAGTTAGCTAAACGTTAAATCCTACACATCATTCGTTTATAAAAAACGAAGGGGGCCGACAAAGAATACACTTTCTCAATTCTCACATTTTAACGGTCACATAAAGTAACACAATATATCAATAATATTTATTAATTACCTAAATATTACAAAGTAACACAATATTAATAATATTTATTAATTACCTAAATATTACAAAGTAACACAATATATTAATAATATTACCTAAATCCGCCGATAGGAAGTCTGCACGTTCCAGTAACAAACTGCAAGAGTCGCGATCTCTGCTCGTCACTGATATCAGCCACAAACTGCCAGAACCACTGTATCTGCTTGTCTGATCGCCTGTAGTTCCGGTAGATTGTGTGAGCTTGCCAGTCCTGGATATCAAAGTCCTGTATCCCCACAAGTATCAACTCCAACTCTCGCTCGTCAAAGTATTGTAACCATTGTATTGGAACTATCTCGTTGAATCCCTCCAGGAAGGCTTTGAATTGTTCCTCCACACCGCGGGTAAATCTCCAGGACACCATCATGTTAACGTACTCTTCCTGCAAAATTAACCGGTCATCATACCATTATAATTTATATCATTATCAGTGTTACCTCGGTGTACGTTATGTAATGGGTTTGGTTATTACATTGGTATGTAAGGTTTGTCAATTTGTTACACCTCAGCATTTAGCAAGGTTATGTCACGACTAAAAATACGAACACCCAGCAACTAAAACTGTATTCTTTACAGCCAACTCTTTTAAAGCTAAGTATAAAATTAAGTCTAATCTCACTCAGATATGCACTATTTTACAAGTTACCTTGTTCTCCTCAGTCACCATGATATCCTCTCCTCCTGGCTTTAGTTCGTGTATCTTTACTTCACCCAGTACTTCAAACTCGTGAGCGAAGTAAAGCTCTAAACCACATTCCTCCAGATCATTCTCCTTCACCCATTTCAAGGAGTTATAGAAATCCTCGTCTATGCTCCTGAGAAAAGAGGATGGTTAGTGAGGATGGTATTAGTTAGAAAAACCAAGTCCACTTTGCCACAACCATATCGAAATATCGCTACAGAGCACATTTATGTTATCGTACACCAATTATCGAAGAGTTTTATACTCAAAGTAACTAAATAGTTACTCAGTAACAGGATTTACATTTGCATACTATTTTGATGTACCAACTATAGATTTTCGGCTTGATGTTGTCAAATCTCATACACTTACAGAAAAAAACTTCAAATTTAACGGGTCAAGATGTCAACAGTTATTGCAATCTCCAATATCTGACAATCTCACACGATTCTCTAGCGTCTACGATTATTAGTGACGAATACTTATAAAATTTGGAGCTCAACTATTAAAGTACTAAACTATATTCTCTACTACACACTGCAATTTGGTAAAGATGTGCACTTTACCCGCCAACTAGCTCGCAACTAGTGATCTGTTTGTTAAACATTTATAACATTACCAAATTATGTATAATACCAACAACATAATCCCATTATATACGGATATACAGTTTAGACAATATGGCTACATCATGTGTGTACAACTGTACAGTACAGTGTGTAAGTGCATTAAGAGATATCGCAGCTACAACTACAAGATGCACGGAGTAATATTTTTCACAGAACAAAGCTTTGTTCACAGAAATAACGCACACACAATTAACAAAATTATGCAAAACAAAAAGTCAATCTCCTGTAATATAATGTTTTAAACCATGTACCTGTATATTGTATAAAATGGACGGTAATTATCACTTACTTAAGATCGAGCATGGTAAGGGGCTTATCCAGGATTCTCTTGTAGAAGGGCAGAGTGAAGCCCTTATCAATGTACTTGTTATGGAAGAGAGCCAAAGCAATAACCCTTCCAACAAACTTAAAGTAAGTGAGATGGTGAGGGTTGACGTAAGAGGCGGGGTTTATCTGTAAACTGTAGTTATTCTTACTGGCGTACTCAAATAGACAGTACATTGGGTTTAACATCTCGTGGGACAGAAGGAAGAACCATTCTCGAGCAAGCCCACCGTAATCCAAACCTTCTTCTCCTCTGCAGGGGGAGGAGGAAGTTAGATATCAAATATCATTGTAAAATAATGTAATATGGCCGAAATGGCCGAAATAGCAAGTAATACTAATGCGTGGAATGTTGCTGAAAATACATTCCATAACAGCTCCATCTACATTCCATACCATTTTCAGATCTACCATACAAACAGTAATTACTAGTTACTTCTAATTGCTCTGCAATAATTCTCACTTGAAGGAAATGAAGAGTCTTCGTTTGAGGTCCTGAGGTGCAATGCCAAGAATCTGGTTAAAGGAATCCTCGAAGACACTGTTCCGACTGACTGTTATCTTGATGTGGCCGGTGGGGAGGCTAGCACGGCTACACAGATGTCTGAATTGTCCGAACTGTGGGAGAATTGTGTGAGTGTGACGTCAATAGAACACAATTACAATATTAATAATGCCATCTCAGTTTACACAGCTCTCCACTTGTAACATTTGCTTTCTCTTTCAATTATCAATGCGATCAGTAGCATTCCAGCTTAAGAACAGAGTTATGACTTATGAGCGAGCCCCTGTACTCTAACGAAGCATTACAAAACATATTAACCATAAACACACCTTCCAGCGATAAGATCGTTCGTAATGAATTCCTGAGCTGGCAGCACTGGTAGCGACCCTAGGATCCTGGAATGTGGTGGAACGAGTGTTGTGATCTACAAAGTATTTAGTATTATCTAAAGTGTATCTCTCCTCCCAGCCGGGCGGGAGGGGCAGGTTACTGGCTTTCTTTATCTGCACTCTGGGATCCTCCCATTGTGTGGTCCTGGGATAGGGGAGATGGGGTTAATAGAAATTGTAAGTAATTCTAGTTTAAACACTTTAATAGTATAGAGACTATAGACACTCGGTAATAGAGGGGAGGAGATGTCAGCTTGTTTTGAAAAGGGACAGTGATTCTGGAATTTGATTGGACGAAGATGCAAGCTGATTGGTTAATTTCTTTCACGGAAGAAAACAAACTTCCCCAGCATTACTTAATACTTATGCTATTAAAACTATCCGGTATATATTGGTTCACACTACTATCTCTGTCATCAACACATCAAGTGTTATTATTAATTAAAGCTGTAAAGATTTACACTACGTACAGTTGTAATATTGCAGTAAATATAACTGGAAGCACTTATATATCTGACATGTCTTGCGATGGAAATTCTACCACTTCAGATTCCCAAATTTGCAATATAAGTCTGCTCAAAAGAAGTGAACATACCGTATATCAAATTCTCAGGGTAAATCTAAACTTTTCAAGAACTCTTTAAATCACATACCTTGTTTCATGGTTAACATAGTAAACTCTGCCATTGTCCATAACCCTCTTCTCCCAGCCACTAGGTAGAGGTTCCTCAGTACTAGCAGCGGTAGTAGCACTACCACTACCACTACCTGTTGTAGCAGCACTTGGTGGGGTGGTCTCCGCAGCGCTACTGCTGTTCGCGTATCTGTTCTCCAGGTTTACTCGGTTAGCTTCCTGGTTATCAGATAACTGTCTCCGCCAACACTGGAACTCTAATACCTGCAACAGGAGAGGATCATAGTTTTAGGGAATTAAAACACAGATGTAACAGTTTAATTGTTACCTTTCCGGTAAGTTGACCGCTGTAAACAAAACGTTAGAGCTATTAAACCCGGCACATTCATAAGGTATCTAGTATTACTTAGTAACACAAGGTGTGTATATAGTAATGGAACACTTGGGATGAATAATGGAACACTTAGGATAAATATCTCAACTATCTGTGCACACTCTGATCTCTAGAGAGAGAGATATATTTATCAGATAATATCTTACATTCTCAGTAGTGGGTCGCTGCCAAGTGGTGGTCCTGGAGTTATGGTCCACATAGTATGGCCTGCCTCTGGGGTCTTGTCTCTGTTCCCAGCCAGTAGGGAGGGGTTTAGGTCGGCTCCAGGCTGTGGTTCTACTGTTGTGGTCCACGTAGTATCTCCGCCCGTTACCATCAACCTTCATTTCCCAGCCCTGCGGCAGTGGCTCTTCTTCATCTTCTGCTGATGTAGACCCGCCGTTCTCTTGTAATCGTGCACTGAAGGTGGAGTGAGTCAGGGACACGCAAATAAAGTGGCACTGCTGTGAGGTGGAGTGAGTCAGGGACACGCAAATAAAGTGGCACTGCTGTGAGGTGGAGTGAGTCAGGGACACGCAAATAAAGTGGCACTGCTGTGAGGTGGAGTGAGTCAGGGACACGCAACTAAAGTGGCACTGTCTGTGAGGTGGAGTGAGTCAGGGACACACAACTAAAGTGGCACTGCTGTGAGGTGGAGTGAGTCAGGGACACGCAACTAAAGTGGCACTGTCTGTGAGGTGGAGTGAGTCAGGGACACGCAAATAAAGTGGCACTGCTGTGAGGTGGAGTGAGTCAGGGACACGCAACTAAAGTGGCACTGTCTGTGAAGTATTGACTTAGAAAGGAAATAGTGTGGCAGGTGTAGACAGTGGCTGTTTACATATCTACATTGTATGCGGTGTGGAGTATGTTACATTGTAAAGTAGCTGTATAGTGTACTATCATTTCCTAGACAGTAGAACTAAGTGTTGTACAGAGTATAAATACACTGACCAATATAGTGTGCAACGTATAATGTATATTGTACAATTTCCTTGAATTGTATTAATAGATACAATAATTTAAGGTTAAACGGTATCAAAATTTCACGTGTGACCAGGACAATAGCATTAAATCTAATATTATAATTTTTTTAAATTGAAATCTTTTAAATCAGTCAATTACATACAAATTACACAATGGAATAAACTACAAAATATAGTAGAAAGAGTGGATTTGTCATCATTATTAAATAAATTTATCTGCAATTCCCACGTACACTGATCTATTAAGTTTCATCGTAGGTTATAGGTATCAAACCATGTCCCAGGAAATTACGTTCATTTCTAAAGAAAGCGAGTCTGTGACGCGAAAAAATTTAACGACAGCACAAACAATTTAGCTACTATTAACGTAAACGAGTTCTAAAAATTATACGACAAATAGAACGCAAACTAAGAAAACGAACTGAGCTGATTGATGTAACCAGAGACAGGGCTGGAGCTAACAATATACTGCTGCCTAGACCTGTGACATGTGACTGATATTTGATATCCTGTGCTGGTATTAACCCACTGTCCCATAGTGCAGTACGATAGGCACATTTCGTATTTTATTAAGACAGTTTATCTAACACCTGAACCAAATAGATAATAATAAGAGGGACCCCCCCCCCCCCCCCCCAATCGGTACTAATACACCTCTACTGAACGTGTGTTATAATGCGAGAAAACGAAACACACAATAAACAGCAATGTAATAAAGTAAGCACGATCGTACGATAAAACGAAATGTGAAGGTAGGAAGGGGAATATACAGAGTGACTATTATCGTTAGCTCACTGTAGCGGTATTTTAATAATTACATGATATATGCCAAATATTTGTGATATTTTGATTTGGAAATAGTCAAGCTAGGGCTCAAATGTTCATGATTCTATGTTTGAAATCCAAGAATGTACTATGTATTGGAAAAATGTTTAACAATATCCCCGCTTTAAAAACTTTATTAGGTGTGTAACAGGGGTGTGGCCAAGGTTTGGTCTTAACCATCAACGAAATAGTTCTTTCATTCAAATTTCTGAAATGAAATAAAGCCAGGACAGAGTCAAACCCTAGAGAAAAATGTACAAGGTAAATGAACACAGTAACATTTAGATCCCTCAGAGGCCTCATGGGACGTTTACAGAGCCATTTTATACATTGTGTTGCATGACGTATAAAATGTACTCAGTACAACTGATAGAAGTAGAACATGCTACTCTGGTGTAATTGACACATTTGATACCAAATTTCAACTCAAATGACTTGACAGCGCTAAGAGGCCTACAGCATGTAGCGCTACACAGTGCTACAAGTGCTACAAAGTGCTAAAAGCGCTACACAGTGCTAAAAGCGCTACACAGTGCTAATAGTAATAGTACAATGTACATGCAGCACAACTGCAGTGCTAACAAATCTTGTGCTAACAAACCTTGAAGGTCCAGGAGAAGTACCAGAAGTAGTAGCCATCCCCTCTATCATGTTACTCAGAGTATCCACATCCACCTCCATATTGAAGGTAAGAAAAACAGCGCCCACATTGTTGGTTTTGTTCTTATCAAACAAGACCACGTGTTTGTCAATGTTGTGGAGACAACCTCCGTTTTGTTGGAGAAGTTGGGCCAGGTTCAGAGAGTTGGAGCCCACGTACAGGTCGTTCTTAAAGCGGTACTTTATGTACACTTTAATCTCTATCTCTGATCTCTCACTCACCTGGTGAGGGCGGGTATTAGTTATTTATGTTACTTTTACATTTAGTGGTAGACGAGATTATCTTGTGTTTAGTAGGGCGGTAATAAGGCTGAGATTGCCGCTTTGTGTGGGGCAACATTTCCTGAATTGGACTAATTTGTATAGGCGGCCAGCGGTCATTTAGCTGAATGATCAGCTGATTGTTCACATATCGGGAGAGTTTTATTACACTGGAAGATACAGGATGATGTTCACTAGACCGTACCTCATACCTGGTTGTAATCAAATTTACATGTTACAGGAGGGACCCGTAAATGTATTACTCAATCCAGACTACATAATATACTACACGCACAACATAGTCTCATAATGAAAATTCATTGGTACAAACCAGCAAATCAAAGGAGTGATTCCAACAGGGTTCCCAGGTTCCCTTAGCATGGTCCGTCTTGTGTGGTGGCTGGCCGTCAACCGTCACTTCCGCATAAGGGTCACCTTTAGTGAAGAGACCTGGGGGCTCTTTTAGCTTAGCATTGTTGACGAATAGCTTGAGCTGGTGCAACGTGTTGTGCTCACTCCCCATTCACACATCTCTACATGTCCCCCTACTCATGTACCAAACCACATTGCTAGAAGGGGGAGGCGGGCGTTAGAAAACAAATAACAACACTAGATACTGTAATAGTAAGCTGTGAAAACTAAGAAGTGAGATAGCGAATCTTCAAATCAGCTGATTTCACAAGCATCAAGCAGGGCCGCGTTTGACGTTACGACTGTTTTTAAATTTACGTTCTCCCGCCTTCTGCAGATTAAACTTGAGAAACTGCTCAGATTTGAGATCATGACGTTTTAAACTAGATCAGAAACTGTGAACATGACATTTTGAACTAGATTAGAAGATATGGATGTAACATTTTAAACAAGATTAGGGCACCTTAACACTGTTAAGGTAACCCTGTAGAATTACATTAATTTGATTTGCAAAATTTTACACATAACAACCACTGCACTACACAGTTGCGCGTGGACACTGCCTTGTGAGTTATTATAACCTCAATATTGGATGTATAATAACTGTGTATTGTTCAGCTGAGAGAATAGTCTAACAAACACTCACATCTTTCGGTGTTAAAACGATCTAAAATGTGAACACAAGGTAAATGTAGATTGCAGGTGTTGTTCACATTATAAAATACTGTTATCATAGTACACAATGCAAGAAGATGTGCCAATAACTGAACTATCGTATCAAGATTTAACTTCCTTGTAGTCAAGCTAACAATCATCAGTAACTTATAATATTGTTTACTTTGTAATTTTACGGGAGCATGCTCAAGAACAACACTAATCATGACAAAAATATCAGTCAATTAAAATTAGGATTAACTATATAATTATAACGGTAAGATCATATTATTTAACAAATTAATACAATTACATTTACTTTTTTTATATTCTTAATAGCAAACAATATACAGAGGCACGGTTTAAAAATGATAAAAACAAATAAACCAAACATAACAAAATCGTGAAACCCCGGAATATATTAAAATTAACAACAAAGACATGTAAATTATCCATGGTATCATACTCAATACTGCACACACACAGGGAAAAAAAGAGAAATATGTGTAGTATTACAAAATGTCAGACGTAGAATTAAGAAATGAGTGACGCTGGGTTACGTCAAACCTTTCTTTTCGAAGAGACAAAACTACGCCCTTCCTACTACGAAAGACTACTCAAAACAATGAAAGTAATATCGTTTAAAATAAAGTCAATGTGCATGTTTTTAAAGAAAAAAGCACAATGACAGAATATATTTGTTTGGTTTAAACGATGTCAGATGATTTCTGACAAAGTGTCAATGTATTTTCAAATCTGTTCTATTATTCTGTGACATGCACTCGACAATCTAATCTTCTACACTGAAAGAAATCGTTCTTCAAAAGCAAAAATTAAAAACGGAAACGTGTTTCTTCCAGGTCAACTAAAAAAATTCTGAGAATCGAGAATTTTATAATTATGAACAATTAATTAATTACACCGTACTTGTAAGTAACCAAGCACACGGTGGTCGGTGAGGCGGATCCACAAACGTAAGTAATCATATTCCACAAATTAATGCGTGCCAGGAAGTTCGGACCTCTGAGATGTTTTATCTACGATTAGTGAAGCTCATGACCCGCTCAGTGACCCATATACTGGGCTTAAAGAGAGGGAGAGGAAAACACTTGACTCTGGATTGGGGTGAGGAGTGATGAGAACTGACGATAAGAACTGGGAACATCAGGGAGAAGAGGCACACGCCCACAAAGTAGGAGTCAGCACACGATATCACCACTGACATTATCATGCCGTACCCTGCAAAGTAGGCCCAGTTGTAGTGCATGTGCGCAATGCGCAGCACTACCCCGTGTCCCTGGTTCATCCAAACGTACTCAAAAGCGTAGAGAGAGTAAACCAGCGCCATGTGAACAACCTGCATCGGGTAACCGACAACTGGAATCAGACCAGTCAAACTGGCCTGTACCAAGAACACACACTGTACAATAACGCTGTATATGATATCCGCAATGAGCTCTGAAACAGAGGAGGCAGGTGAGCGGGACCGTGAGCGCCTGACTGATTTGTAGACCAGGTCAGCTATCTCCTGATACCAGAACACGTTCAACAGTCTGCTGATAAGATAGAGAGGCAGCACCCAGAGTACCCGGAACACTGCTGTCAGTATCATGTCTACCAGGTGCGAGGTTTCGCTAGGTGCTACCAGCAGCACTATCGGCACTATCACCCAGTCAAAGAAGAGCAGAGAGAACATGAAAACGACACCGTTCAGCATGAAACATTGCAGCAGCTTGGATCTGATTTCTGGATCTTGTTTCAGTAGTTTTACAGTCTTGCCCCCACTTACTAGACTGTCCTGCAGCCCCAACAGAAATGCGTGTAAAATATCCATTTTTTCCTAAGAGGAGTGTTTCTGTTAGAAATTTTATGAGTAAAATATAACAAACGTGACACGGATATATTCACCGTCACAATTAACATTGACAACTCAGTACATCGAGATGATGGGAATGGTATCATTGCTATTTCAGCGATCATTCACATCAACAGTCAGCAGTAGTGGAATGTTATAATGTAACTTGTAAGCAGTTGTTGACTGGGTTTATAGTTAAAACAAATATAAATAGTTTATACAAATATCTGGCCGGGAAGCCCAAACTCCCAGGCGTCGGTACTCGGTATCGAACTGAGAACCGTTGTTAAAGTCGAAATGACAAATGCGTTAACATTGTATACTACGTTCTAATCGAAGGCTCAATGGTGTAAAGTTATTAAATTTCAAACATCATATCAGACTAAGCCTAGGATTGTAAAACTTGATACTGAACTATTCATTAAAATGGTATTGCAACACATTTCAGGACACACCCTAAAAGATTTTCAAACTTTCAATTTGATTGATCAGAAGTAAGAATTATACCAAATAGGGAGAGTTTATCATGATTGAGAGCAATAACAAAGAAGATGCTGTCATAAATACATTTGATTGATTGTGAGATCACATGATGATGATATACATCCATCTTTTTACATGTAAAATCCGGATTGGAGTATTATTTATGAGTAGCACTACTATATATAAAAGCGAGACGATATATATATATTATAATATATATATTTATTTTCCGTGCCATTTTACTGACACCACGGCATCAACTTTAACACGACTTTCCGCAAATACCGTAAACAGATATACAACTGAAACTTTCGCGGCGACTGGGTCAAATGTTTTATGGCATTCACAATCAGCATGAAAAAATAAAAAAATGGCCAAAAAAACTAGAGATATAGAGCCAAATTTGGACCCCAAGTGGGGTCAAAAAACGCGAAATAAATAGGTAATAATTATTTTAGTCTCTTGAGTCTTGACACCACTTTAGGGTTAGACGGGTTCCTGCTAGTTGTTGTAATTTATTCTGGGTAAAATTATCTTTTTACACATATAATACATATTTACAAATTATTTAATTTACAAAATATTTACATTCAATGAAAGTAAAAATGTTCTGAATCTACTGGTATGTATCTGTATATAATTAGCAATAAAACTTATAACTTATCTGACATCTGTGTACATCAAAATATCAACCTGTCCTTTAAAACATCTGTGTACTAATCTGATCTATAACAATGTATCTCTGTAATAACTTATAAAAACTAATTTACCACTCTAAAATATAAAATCACTAATTAGAATAATATGATCATAGGGTGATCGTGTTCCAAAATGACTTAAATCCTACACACATTATGACTGATTAGGTACAAAGACTCGACCGGTATTAGCTGGAAAGGTGTGAAAACAACCCGACATTGTGCGAGTTTTATTCTCCAAATATTAAACGTTCAGAGACATTGGCCGGGTATCAAGTTTCAGGCTGCAGTATCTGATCATGATCCGTTCCGTGGTCGGCAGGCGGTTCCCTTTCACCCTGGTCAGTAACCATGTGATCGTGTTCCATCACGTGCTCCCCAGCCTCCTCCTCCTCCTCTCCTTCTACTTCTTTAGTAGGTGTAGAAGATGGAGTTATCAGTTCTCTTGTGGGGGAGGGGTTGGGCGTCATTTCGTTAGTTGGGGTGCATGCTGGGGGAGGGATAGGGTCCCGGTTGAAATGGGGGCTACCAGGCTCACTTAAAGTGAGGACATCTATTGCACTGGGGTTCCCACTGACTGTTCCACTCTTGCCACTCTCCAGCGGTGGGGTCATCATCTGAGGGTAACGGTGTAAGTGGATCCAGAACGATTCATATGATGTTGGAAATACATATTTGTTAAACTATTACTCGATCGAAAGTTTTGAACAATCAACTAAATTAAACTGCAAATGCATAAACATACCTAACAATAAGCACAAGATTAGCAATCCTCGCTGCTAAGCGTCGTTAACTGTCCTGGTTCGCTTCTATCCATGCAGCAGAGTTAGGGTGCTGCTCCGAGAAGGGGGTGACAGTTGAGAAGCTTGTGTGTCTCCAACTGTCTCTTGTCGGAGGCAGGGAGCTTGTTATTCCATCAGTTCCATGTCTTCTGTGTCCTCAACTGCAGATGGGATACGCAGCACAGGCTCATCTACAGGACAAAGGAGTCAGGAGAAAGGAAGTTAGAAACTATCAAGTTACCCTCATTTACACTAACGGCGCGGAGTAGAGACAAAAGTAATGCTGCAAGCGTTGAATTCAAATGTTGCAGAATCTTAAAACTTTTTGGAATTTTGGTGGATCAAATCTAATTTGAGCTTTAAACAATTTATACTGTATCTAACAAACCAGCAGGAAGAACGACATCAAGAGACTGTGACACAATCTCCTCCTCTCCCTCTTCTCCTCCTTCATCAGCCCTATCTGAGAGGTGAGTGATAGATGACCCCTTAAGAAATGTCGTAACGCTCGTTATGTGAGATGTCGACCGGTCTTCAGCGCCTGATTTTACTGAGATTCCGTCCACGAGCTGCAGGTTAAAATATATCTTTTATATCTTATTCATAAAATAAGCATACATTAACAATCTACATATAATATGTGTTATTAGACTTAGTCCTGGCAAACATTGTAGAATTTAGTGGACGAAGGCTAGGTCAAACAGCAGGTCAAGATTAGGTAAAATTATCCAGCTGAAAATTGGAATGGAGAATTGAGATGGAAACTATACCGTGTGTGGCATCTAATTTGTCGACGTTTAAAAAGAGGGAACAATTATTCCATTTTCTAATGCAGTACTTGACTTTTCTTTATGCTATTGAAACCGTAAGAAGATAATACGTCAAGTCTCTTTTCTAAATGCGACAAATATTCAATTCTCTAAATTAAGGTTAATTCTCTAGATTAAGCTTTGATTAAATTTGCTTAAAGATTACTGGCATGCATCCCACTCTTTTTCGAAACAATTTATTCTATCACGAGCCTCTTAGGTATGACCACACTATAATAAACATGCGGACATTGCCACAATATTAAAATGTCAAACCTCTCAACGTCAAACATGTACAAAAGGAAACTCACCCCTCGCTCCGGCACTCTCGCGCACACACGAACAAAGATGGCCCACGACCCCCCCCATTCGCTAGATCGCTTGCTCATCACGTACTCCCTGAAGCTTGGTTTGCCGACACGGTTTACCATTGGGCCAGGCAGATCAGAGGGCTCTATCTTCCGGTGCATGTTGGGCACGTATGTACTGGGTTCCGGCCAATCCAGAGGGCGTCTTGGCATTATCAGACATTTCGGCTGAATTAGGATGCTAAAACTTACACCAGTGTGAAAAGGAGTAAATAACCAAGAAAGTTGATTCCACATTATATAATACATTTTACAAATAACTATTATAAAGCAACAATAACCTGGATGTAAGTTAAAATTAAAAACGCACACCTCTTGTTTGGACGTCAGATCATCAGGAGGATCAAAGAAAATACCCACTCCCTCCAGAGAAGGGTTAGCAGGGAGCTGCGGAGACAACTGACACCTCATCAGTTCTAGCAGCACACCCTCAGATAAAACACTGTAGGGTATGTTGTCGATAGGGTGCGCTGACAGGACTTTGCGGAATTGGGTGTTCTCTAACAACTTTACCTGAGTTATGTACCGATCAGTTAGTACTTAGTACAGATTGAAAAGCAAAATAAACGAAACATCTGGTGGAATGTGCACAAGTGCACTATTGGTTGTTGATCTTAGAATTGTAAAAATATGATCTGGACTATTAAAGTAACAATGCGATCACTTAAATCTAACCTTAAAAAGCACTTGCTATCCCTCCAAAATCGAGATGACCTAATACAGGTAAATACTCTATATTAAATTCTCCAAATTCTAAATCCGGTCCGGCTCTGAACACCATGATATCTCTCTTGCCATGAAACAAGGCTAACCTTGTAAACTATAATTTTAAAACCTACCTAAAACTAAAACCTCAACTGGGCTCTCCGATGTCACCAAACTAATACCAATAAGTAAATTTTATTATTCTCATTTTTCTATATTTGTACTAACAAGTTATTGAAGTAGTGGATGGATGAGGGGGTTTCAAGACACAGGTCACTCTCAAATCCTAAAGATAAGCAGTGGCCTTCGGCACTTCGAAACCTCTTTTCAAACCTCCCCCTGATTTATTTCTTATTGATATTTGTTTGATTGTGCCGTACAAAATAAATATTCTGTTTTATTAAAATATTTGTTTTTATTAAAAATAGCCACATATGTTTCAGTAATTATAGACAGCTAGTACCATTTTGTTCATTTCTAATCTTTTACAATGTCAAATTTAAGCTAATTATAAACTTGAACTGCACGGCCCACATTTAAAAATTTGTTACAATTATTTACCTGTAAGTAATGTGGCAAATCCAGCAGATTGAGGTGGCCCATTTTCCTAATGAGATCCAAGTAACTGCTGCCCTTGGGCCGAGAATTTACAATACGAGTTTGGGCATTTCTCGTGTGCATGATTTTTGAGGAGGTAGGACGAGATTGGATAGTTCACATGATCTACGGTATAGATCTTTAATTGGTGGCTGAGCACGAGTAAATGCCTTTATAGGTGTTGGCTGCTGACTTTGAAGGGATGGTAACCAAATCCATCGTTTTTGAGCATGACATTGAAAACCTGCTTGAACAATGATGTGGCTGACCCTGGGAACAGATGACTCCTTCTGAGGCACATGTTGGTAGTCTGAGTGGGATTTTTGAATGCTTAGCGTATGTGTAAGACCCTCTGAGGTTTTAATTGGTGGAAGAGATCTGTGTCTCTGAATTCTCTCGCTCGGTTACATAAGCTGAAAACTCGTGCTCCTGATTACTATGGTGTGGGTACGTGGTATTGATAATTAATATATATATAGTTAATAGGTAATAGCTAATAGTACTATGTTTAGCAGTATGTACTGAAGGGGTATCTAGGAGTTTCTTGAACTTATAAAGGTACCCTCCCTCATTTAAACCTCAATCACCGGTTCTATCATTCGGCTGAGTCGACCGAGGAGATTTTATAGAACAAATGATTTAGCTAATCCTAGACTAGGTGACACTGGGATTCGGAACCCTCGGACCTTCTGCACAGAAAGCGGATGCTCTAACCACAAGGCCACCTAGCCTCAGTAACCTTAAATGGATTTTAACAGGAAAATATCCAAACCCAGGCCCAGTGCACTGTATTAATTTTAATTCAAGCTTGCTAACTTTAACATGTTAAATTTTCAATTATATTATAGACATAATAAGAATTTAAAACAAACCTCACGGATAGAGTAGGAATCATGAGCTCACATCGTTCACGAGGAGATGGAAGAAAGTCAAGGGACTCCTCCAGAGAGGGGGGAGATACCTTTGCTTTCCAGCATCCAGGATGCTGACACAATGGTCCACACGTTGATGGAGATATCATATTGCTAGCATCCCAGTTGTCACGCTACATCCTGCATGACTAATCCTGGGATTTTTTGATTAATTAAGTGAGCATAATTACAGTAAAATTAAATAACATAGGGAGCATTTCTTCAACGGGATTATTGTTCAGATATATGAGGGAAACCCATTATCATTTTCATGCTAATATGTAATGAAAATCTTAGGTTTAATCCCCATACTGCAAACTAACTCATATGATATGATATAGCCCAGGTCAAGATTCATGTGAGATTGCGAGACAGGCTCATCGCACAAAATCTTAAAATAAACATAGAAAAAAATTAACAAAAGAATGTGTTGAGAAAATAGAAAATGTAATTTAAAAGATTTAAGCGACACAAAAATTTGCTTAAGACTTTGTAAATTCGAAACTTAGTGCGGTGTGAGATCACGTGGTTAAAGTATAACAATTTTGCCGCGCGCAATTAGTGCGAGATTTTGACGAGTTTAGTATAAACTCTCACCCCAATATCGCAAGTTTAACACGAGATTTTCGGCACCCTCTTTCAGCACTACATATCCGGTCGCGCGCCACATTTTCTAATAATATTCACATCTTGCTGGTCCCTTCGTTCTTCTATCATCAAGCGTCGACTTTTTAATGGACTCATTACGTCCCTTTCTTGTATTGATTGTTTGTGAATTATTAATGCGTTGTGTTACTCTGACGGACTTACTTTCCTGTACTGTATAAGTCCTAAAGGATACTAGTTGTTGGCGTATTCAATCGGTTTATAAGATCAAGATTAACAGTGGTTACTATAGTTACCATCGGTTACCCATTAAAGGAGGTTCTTGGTAATGGTCGAAATCTCAAGGTACTGTTCCTGGTTAAAGTCGACTCATTCTTTCTCAGAGTATTCTTAATACCTGCCATAGGCAATGCTATTAGGCATAGTGAATATTTCTTCATTAAAAGTTTGAAAAAGGGTCTTTTCAACTGGTGAACTGACTTATTATCCTAACAGGTAATAACTTCTGGATTCCTCATCACATTGATTCCTTCTAAATTCTAGCCTTAAAACAAAACAAAAACATTACCAGATAAATCTGTTTACCATATTGACAATTGACAGTTCTAGTGCGAACGAGGCCTTCCCAGGGCAAATCTTAAATGCCAGTCTTCTCTAGCTGAAGTACCGAACAGTATACATTTATCGGATAAAGTATATTACAAGGTGCTCGATGATGATCATTTAGTAAAATAATTAATAATTGCCCAAAAAAATGGACCGTCGACGAGGTTCGAACCGGAGGTCAACTGCTAAGCAATCGCGCTCTAATCCATTGTGCTACAATGGGCATAGCAGATTCATCAATATGTAACTGTATTTACTCATAAAAAATACGCACGTAATTTCGAGCGACATAAAGCGACTTTACTACAATTTCGCTCAAAGGGAATCGCGAATCTGAAAATCTTTTAATAGAGAATAATTGTGGGGCAAGAAATCTTGCAGCGCTGGGTAGGGGGGGGGGTGGGGGGAGTACATTTCGCACTGCACGTGACACTGAAAATCGCACCTTTTAGTCTCAAATCCAATCTCATCGCACTTTTTTTTGAACTTGATAGGGTGATATAGTAGTGGGAAAGTCATGCGACAATACAGTCATATAGTAAGGCAGTATCAGGCAAAATACAATAACACAATAATATAGCAATGGACAATGGCTGACTATAAGGTCATCGGCCTGAACAAACAATTTTATATTAAATAGTCACGTGATGGCTAAAAGCAGAGGCACAAATGTGTTTAATAAGTTAATAGATTTCAAAAAACTTGATTCATGTGATGCCATTACGCAGAGGCACAAGATAAAAATACTGCTTCAATGATTAAAAAAAATTAGCTGTGAGTGTCAATAAATTACGGTTCTGTGTCATAAAAAAAGGAACGATGTACACGTGATCTGAGATACCAATATCTCAATATCAAAGGGATAGTGTCTAGAAACATTCGTAGTCCATGGTGGCCGGTATTCAAGTTAAACGAAGTTACACTGACTCTGGCAATGTATGCGCGATTGCCGTCCTCCTCTACCTCCACCCATGACCGCTTCTGGAGGAAGTTGAGAATCTAATCCTGGTGCGCATGTAACACATAATAGCCGCATAGTCGTCTCCTCTCTTCTGGATAAGTTTTTTCAGCGAAGTTCTCTTGTGGTAATCTTGTGCTTGTGGACCCCATCCGCCATCAATTTGTTGGTATATAAGTGGGGTAAAGGTTGCCTTTTTCCACCTGGAGATTCTGTTGTTGTACTTTTTCATTTTTCCTCATTTCATGAGTTTTATAGATCTGTTCCATATCTTTTTTGTCATATGTGGGTGAGGTTGTGGTGGGTAACACAGACATCAAAGAATGTTCGTTCAAAAGTGCTCCAGAGACCTTGGGAGGATACATCAGGGCCAGCCTCTAAGTCAGCATTGCGTACCAACAATTTGCTTCTTCTCACAGGGGTATCAGTGCTGGCTCAGTCACTACATCTCTGCATACTTACGCTTGCGCTCTTGCATTTAGATCGCGGATGTTGTTGTGTCTCATAGAAACATAGCCACCTTTCTTGCATATAAGTGTGTGATTCAAATTATTTCTCTCTCCACCAAGCACAGTGACATGGGGTGTTAGCGGATCTCCCAACCATAACGCAAGTACAGAGCATCACGGAACTCAAAATCTTGTTCAGGTAGTAGCCAATCTCTCAATGGAAGTGCAGTAACGGCCAACATCCTGAACTTTCTCTTTGATTGAACTGGAGAGATCTATTTAGGTTGGGAATCTCTTACCACTGATCCTCTATGATTTGCTATCCGTAAATAAAGTGTTTCTCCTTGATTGCCTTGAGACTTTATATAGTGTCATTTTGAAAATTGACAAGTTGTAATGTTCAAGGGGTTTTGCTGGTGATAATCAGGTCTGTGAGGTGGTCTTTTGTGATGGTGACTGGAGGCTGTGACATCTCTATTTGCAGTTTTCACTGGGTTAGGGGATACCTAGGCCACCATGTTGACTGCATGCAAATATGGAGCGGTCCAACGCAGGGAGGTGACGGGATTCCCGGTACGGAATCCCGGTACGGGATTGGCAATTTTCAGCTATCCCTGGACCGGTCCGTGTCTCCGGTCAAACCGGGGTCAAGTCAAATTTTTCCTCCCGGTCGCGTGGGTCCCGGTCCGGTCAAAAGCGATTTATGATCCCTGAGAGACTCGTCCCGGTCCGGTTAATTCAGGATTCATGGTCCAGTCCGGTCCGGTCCATCACTCAAACTTTGCCGGATTTTGTCCGGGATCTTTTACATAATGCGCGCCACTCGCGCACACTGTGATTTTAAGTTATTTACTTTCATTCATTGTGAATTTCATCTTTAAAACAACTCTGAGCAAATAAAAAATGTTTAAAATTGCTAAACAAGTTACTAGAGTTTAAGTAATAATATCGTTACATAACTCATTAGTGGCAAACTAAAATCAAGTTTTCAACTCACGGCTACGCCCCCATTGTCAAATTGGGAAAATTGGAGAATGAAACTGTTGAAATAATTTGAGGGATCCTTGATCGAGGAATGCTCGCGAATGAGGGGGAACTTTGAGTAATCAGTACATGGAACATTATTGGTGTAGTACTTTAGGCCCATGCCCCATATTGACGGTTTTTTTTTCAATTATATGTAAATGAAAGTTGCTAGCTATCCAATATGAGAATACAGTTTGGTCCGGTCATCCCGGTCATCCGGTAAATCCCGGTCATCCGGTCAAATCCGGTCATCCGGTCAAATCCCGGTCATTCCCGGTCACAATCCGAGTCATCCCGGTCAATCCGGCATTCCCGGTCAGCAGGTAAAATTGGATTGTTCGGTCCCCCGGTCCCGGTCCGGTTAAGATAGATAGAAATCCAGAGATTATTAGGTCCAGTCGGTCACGTTAAAATGATAATCTCAGTCCCGGTCCGGTCCCGGGTCCGGTCAAGCAGACTCATTTGGTGTCCGCTCGCCCGGCTCCGAGTCCCGGTCAGCAGCATAAATCATGTCCCCGGTCACTCCTGCGGTCCATGTCTGATACGTTTCTTACCCACTATTGCTGGCATAAAATCTGTTCTGACGAATCCTCCAATGGTTGAAACAAGTGACTTATACCCAGATGGTCTCTGAATGAACGTCCACCGGTGGACAAAATTCGCTGAGTATACTGCAGTCAAGCAGATTGGTCCTCAACAGCAATTGTTGACAACAGCTTGATGTCTGGACACCATGTATGGACTTAATTGTGACATTATTAGTTCTTAAAAAAGCTTCGCTGCCAATTGCTGCACCCAAATGGCGGTTCTCCTTTCAGACTTCAAATTTTAATCA